TCATTATCATTTTGAGGTTATTAAAGTTTTTCCTTTATAAAATGTGCATTAAGCACAAAAGCATTGCCTGTATACATGAAAAGATTTTTTCCTTTATTTTTAAGGTTTTTCTAGTATAGGAAAAAAATTTTAGTAGTGAATTCCTACAGTTTTTCCCCATTGACCCAAGTTCATAAAAATATTAATATTTGTAAATCAACAAATGAATCTCACAAAGAAATTTCATAAAAATACTCAATGAATGCTTGAGGTTAATTAGCTCCAAATAACTATTTGATAACCTGAAATACGTATTGTTTTAAACTTCAGTGTTACTGGTAACTGTACACAAGAACCACCACCACTAAATAAACACCAGGAAAAATTATTCATCTGACCACAGTAAATATTCTTCCTCTGCTCACATATTCTGATGAGAATGGCTAAGGTAATATGTAACTGTCTTTTAAAAGGTGACCTCATAGCTGTCATCTCTAATAGCCAACTGGCTTTTAAAACATGTACTAGATAGTATTTAAGCATAAATACTGATTATAGACTCACCACACAAATTATGAAATAAAACACTTCTATTATCACTGAAGTCTTTATGTACCATCCTCAGTTGCATTTTGCTCTATCTCGATGTCATCATTGTTCCAAACAATATCTTTTCATGCTTTTGGCACAGCTGTACATACCTAAATAATACATATTATTCCCAAAGTATTTCCTGTTGATTTGGCTGTTATGTCTCTGAATTCATACATGCTGATATGTATAGCACATTCATGTAGTAGAGGTAGTATTCCCCAAATATTCTCTGTACTGTTTATCAGTGTTTAGGTTAGAAATAATCATACTTTGAGGAGAAATGAAATGTCATGTCTGCAATAAAGCAATTAAATACATCATCTCTTTTTCCCCCTTCCTTAGTGAACTCATAACCACATATTCCAGATGAGGCAGGTGCAAGAACATGTTGAACTTGTAACATAAGCAAGTGATAACACACATGCATACAAATTGACAGAATATTTACTTTCTGTGATTATTTGAAAGCAATACTTGCAGTAATGGGGCCTTCTGAAGATACTTCTAACTCTAAATGGTATTTTCACTTGTATTGAAGGTCTCCAAAAACACCAAATCAAAACAAACTCACTGCCATGGAGTTGATGCTGACTCATATGACCTACCACACTAAGATTACTTTGAACAGTGCTTATGTACTGTTTTAGGTATGTTGGTTTTGTCACCCCAATTAGATTGTAAACTGTTCTCTTTACACTACACCTTACATAGGCGTGCAGAGGCATGAGGTAATAAATGCTCTATTGGTTAACTGACAAGCATAGAAACAAACACTAAATGCCTACCTTAGTGGAAGAATGCCTTCTGGTACATTTCCATAAGATTACAGCCATTGAAAATCCTAAGGAGCACAGTTCTACTCTGAAACATGTGAGGTCACCATTAGCCAGAACTGACTCAATGGCAATGTGTTTGCTTGTTTGTGTGAGATCTTTATTGATTCCATTATATGTTGTTGTTCAGTGACTCACAGCAATCTTAGGTCTAACAGAAGAAAAACTAATGCCACCCTCACTGTGGGTATGTTTGAACTTATTGCAATCACCTCTATTTACATGAGGCAATTGAGGTTACCAGTAATTTTCCTTTGGTCACACAGCTAAGATGAAAGTTGGATAAGGCGAGAAAGCAGAGTAAGCAACCAGTCAGCTTGGCTCTAAATCTTTTGCCTTTTATTGTGAACCCATCCCTAGGGTAGAGCAAGAACTTTGGTAGAACATAAAATGATCAAAATAGTTACCAGAGACAAGGCAGTTTGAGGAGGCAGCAACGGAAGTGGGGGCCTGGTGTGTTGTGTACTCTGCACCTCAAGAAGGCTTCTGTTTGTGAAATGGTTGCTTTTGGAAGACTATTGCCCAGAAGCAAAGGTGTTTGCTTTTCACAAGCCAAAGATGTATGGAAGTATGAGGGCTGCTGTGTTTGCAGAGCTAAGTCTTCCAGTTCTGGGTTCACGACAGTCAATGCTATAAAAAGGACTTCCAGAGCTGTTTTGGTCACTGAGACATATTCAGGAGATAACTGCAGTGCTTGCGTCCTGCTTATGAATAGGCGGAAGAAGCGGCCAGCAGAATCAAAGAAAAACTGGAATCATGTGGTAGATGTGAGGACAGGGTCCAGTCTAAAGACTACATTTAAACCAAAGAAAGTGAAAACTTTATCTGGAAACAGGGTAAAAATCAACCAGATCAGTAAGCTTCAGAAGGAATTTAAATGTCCTAATTCTGATGCTCCCAGCGCCACCTCAAATGCCTCCTTGTTACAGTAGCCAGTTGGATTATGGCTCAGCTAGAGATGGCTTCTGGCTCTAACAGAACACCGGTCTTTTCCATTTCAGATCTTACATACTGGAAAAGACAGAAAATATGTTGCGGGATTACCTGCAAAGGCCATTTTGGAGAAGTCCTCAAGTCCGCATGCCCTGCTGCAGCAGTAAGAAGGCAGCTGCTGAGAAACCAGAGAGCTGGAGCCAGACCCCTGCCCATCTCCACTTAGGAGTGGTGACTGAGGTGTTAGGTAGGTGGTCAACATAAAATTCCAAAATTTACATTTTGGAAAGACACAACAAAGTAACCTTCCTATTTTTAACTTGGAAATTAGCTATTCTGCAAAAAGACAGTATGTAGAATGGTTTTGAACGGGTTATTTTTCTCCCCAGTTCCACAAACTTTGAAGCCAGTGTCTAGTTAAAAAAAATGTGTACAAAATATTTACGATGCTGAGTATTTCATAGGAAAGCTGAATGCTGCTGCAAAGTGTTCTTTACGTCTTTTTTCCTCCTCCTTTTTAAATCCCGTTGTATGAATGAAAAGGGCGGTTTTTAGGAGACCAGAATTTTCTTGCATGACAAACCACACGTAGTTTTAGTCTTTCGAAATTGAGATTGAGAAGCAGTGGTTTGGCATTTTAAAGATTGCTGGCTACACTTGTTTTCCCTGATGATAATAAATTTGTCATTTTAAGATTGCTTGGCACATGGTAGTCAAGATAGATGACCCCTCAGAGACAGTGGAAGGAGTAAGGGTTCCATGAGGGTATGGGAAGTGAGAGGTGGGGGGGGGGGGGGGGAGGGGGGGGGGGGGGGAGTTGATAGCATTGATGATTGTAGAGCCCCACCCAATGGGATTGAACAACAGAACTGTACAGGAAGGGAAGGGCTATACTGAAATGAGTAAGATATGTCAAAATTATTTTTAAAAAAGAAAAAGAAATTTGTCATAATTCAGTAACTTGAACTTGACCATAGAGATACTTGCTAATAATTTTGAAATATTAGGTATTACAGTTGTTCTGATGATTCAAACTTATACTATTGAAATATTACGTAAGGCAGAGTACATACACATTGAGGGAGAAAGTTGACTAAATAGAGATGTAACTTGACTGTAGATGCTGCTACATCCAATGCCAGCTCCTTCCATATTAATATTTGATAGATTTTAATTTATAAGAAGCCTCTAAAGCAGAATCCAAGCTCCTCTTGGTGAATAGCAAGTTTTCAGGATAAACAATCAATTGGTACCAAAGTATACCAAGACAGACAACACACTCTATTAAAAAGCATTCAACTACCTAGCAATTAAAATGTGCAAGTCTTCAAGGTAGTGTAAAACAAAGGCTAATGCTTCTTGGGAGCATGCTTCTTAGTGCGCTTGCTGAGTGTGTAAATAGTTGACTTGTTTGTGTTATATTTGGTAACTTCGCTGAAAATCTGTAAAATTCAGTATTAGCTCTGGATGACTTCAGCTGACCTTGTGAAGGTTTGATCTGTGTAGAATGGGTGTTTGCTTTGCTTTAACCCACTGGTTCTCAACCTGCCTAATGCTGCGACCCTTTCATACCGTTCCTTATGTTGTGGTGACCCCCCAACCATAAAATTATTTTGTTGCTACTTCATAACTGTAATTTTGCTGTTATCAATCGGGTGACCCCTGTGAAAGGATTGTTCAACACCCCACCCCCCAAAGGGGTCATGACCCACAGGTTGAGAACCACTGTTTTAACCTATTAGTGTTTTGTTTCTCTTTCACACTGTATTTAAAGTAAAATTCTAAAAGAAAAGAGGTGTATTCAATGCTAAGAGGGTTGATTTTTGGTTTGGCTTCTTTTAGCCAAGCTTTCTTAACATTACGATTTTGGGAGATACATAAATCTTGAATGTGGATCTCTTCAATTCTAAAATCCTCATTAAAGACTTCTCACTTGAACCCCAACCAAAGTACTCATTGCTTCTTTTCTATAGTTCAGGTAAAAACTATTACCATTTAAGACTTTTTATAGTGAGTGAGGAACACTGTAACAATCCTCTGCTTATTTTTAAAACTAGATTTTAAAACTTGGATAGTATAAATGTCAATAAAGAGTGAGCCCCTTTTTAAGGGTATCCTATAGTTTTATATTTCGTCTTCTAAATGTTAAGATTCTATATTTCTTCTTTTGGGTAAAAAGCTACCTGCTCCATGCCACAATAAGTATAGACTACACAGTAAATTGGGGCGGCTCTCCCACAACCTTTGAGGTGTGTTACAAGAGTCCCAGCCTGATCATCTTCCTTCCGAGCTTTGTTTGAACGGGTTCTTTTCTCTTCTTGTACATTTGGGTGCAGTCTTGGTGGTAGAATATACTATAATATGGATCATCTCTACTTCTGTATTTATTTATTACTAGACCTCAACCACAGTCTTCTTTTTCCCCTTCCAACTCTTTCTGTAGGATTACTATATGTAGTCATGCACTTCGTATTAATATGTTAGAAAGCTACAGATCTGTTTTGTACTTTTTATACTGTTGTATACTGATAATCAAAACTTTTACTAGGGTATTGATGTACTCTTACTAGAAAATAAAGTAAAAACAAAACAAAGCTTTCATTTATAAATTTTGCAAATTTCTTTTTATGTTGTTCAAGACTCACGATTATTGGGTCTTACCTTGATCACCTCTGGAGTTTGTTGAATCAAAACCATTGAAGTTGTATCTTTGGCTTTATCACCAATGGGACTTCTACAGACTGATGAATTGACCTGGGAAGAAGTTGTTAAGGTTTCCTGTAGAATCTGCATCATTTCCTTTTCCTGTGATAGGCTCCCTCTGCCTGATTTGCAGTCAACTAATTCTTGAGCAAAGTCTTCAATGCTTCCTAGAATTCGAAGTAAGAGAGCTCGATCCTCTTCTTCTATTTTGTGCCCATTGGTTTCAATGATCCTTGTTAAACAGGAAGGTGAGACTTTTTCTGACGGTGAAGAAACTTTAGATTTGGGCTCAAGATCTACAGGTGAAGTGACTTTAGAGTTAGGCTCCTGATCTACAGGTACCTGTGCAGTCAAGTGACCATGACATTTTACAGAATTAGAGTTTTTGCCATTGGAAAGTGGCTCCCTTAGAGAGGTCTCCATTCTCTGTGAAAAAGACTCTAAATCCATTAACAGTTTATCTATCTCTTCCTGACTGTTAGGATTCATAAAATCTCCGCGGTCTCTTTCTTCAACTTTAGGAACTTTTGGTTTAAAGTCTTCTTCAGATAGATTAACAACTGGTTTCTCAAATATCTTACCAATTTCATTTTGCACTGAGGCAGCACATTTTTTAATATGAGTATCATGGTCTGAAAATTCTGCTTTGTCTTGATTTCCCTTTACTAATTCATGATTGGGTCTATCTTTTGTCTTTTGTTCTTTGGCTAATGCTTTCTTTCCATCTGATTCTTCTTCAATGTAAAGAGTCTCCATTAACTCACCAGAAGAAACATTTTCCAAAGGGTTCATGGCTGATGGCTGTGATTGAAGTTGGACAGCTTTTAGAGTTCTGGGATCATTTACCTCTAAGTTATATACTGAACTTGTGGAGTTGTTTGGAATAACATTTGTATTGTCCATTTTCCTCGAATTGTGATTATCATTTTGCAGTTCAATAGTCTGAAACCGTCCAGACTCAGGGGCGGAGAGCTGGACAACATCTTCATATTTAGGTGGCTGCTCAGTGCCAAATATTGGGGAGAATGGAGTCAACTGTAAACTAGGCATATTACTGACCAATTCTGTTAAATCTAGGGCTTCATTATGTCCAGAGTGCACAAATTCAAAAGGTAACTTCTTCAGATAGGATGATAATCTGGTCATTACATTCATATAGACAGTTTCAGAGCTAGATATTGCATCGTGACCGTTTCCTTCATTGATGCTACCCCCTGACTTTTTCTTTATGCATTGTTTTATGATGTCTGTGCATTTTTTTAAATCCTCAGAACATTTCAGCAAAATATCTAAACACATTTTTATGTCGGTACCAGAAGAAAAGTTATCTAGTTTGTGTTTTTCTAAAATCTGAGTAACCAGGTCTTCCTCAGAGAAATTTTGGAGAAACATGGAAGTCAGGGTCAGATCAAGTGAGTTTCTATGAGACAACGATTTTTCCTCCATTGAGGAACTCCGGAGTAAACCAAAGGATGGGGCATTTCCATCATTGTTATAATGACCACAGAGCAAGTCAAAATCAACCGACCGCCTATTAAATGCATCCGACTTAACTTTCCTTCCCTTTTTATAAGCTGCATGGTTAGAGTTTTTGAGTTTTTCAAGGGAAAATTCTTTTATTTTTCCACTGGCAAAATTGATTGCTTCTCCTGCGATGTCCTTTAAGTTACAGGTGCTCTGGGTTGCAGACCCTTTCCTGATTCGGGGCACACCTGGGAGGGCATGATGAGCATAGTCACTTTCAGCTGAGGAAAGGCCGTTTTCCTGGGGTAGAAACACAGAGCCTGGGCTGCCGTCTTTGAACTGAGACACAGGGATGTGCAAGAGGTCTGCGCAAACACTATGATGTACTACAATGCAGTCAACTCCATGCGTGAAGGTGTGGCAGGTTCCAGTGCAATAATGTATAGCCTGCTCAAAACGCCGGTCTATCACCACACTGCTGTAGTGGTTCACAGTACTAACCACAAGTCTGTAAGTTGCTGCCATAATATCAAATCCACTTAGTGGTGGAATTTTCTAAAACTCCAGTTTCAAGTAAATTTTCCAAATTGCCACTTAAAAATATATGATGGCAGTATTCAGTGGATTCTTGCAAATATAATGCTTCTCCCACAAGGAAAACCATTCAAATATGAGGTTTTGTCAAAACACAGTAGTGGTTGCACATGTGTATTAGCAAGTCTAATAATTTACAGTAAAATATCAATTATGATTTTTAGTTTTATTTAGTAATGTCATGGCATTTCAGTATTATTTTTGTGGAAGAATATCATCACTTAGGTCTTCAGCAATTCTATAATGCAGAAATTTATTGTCATGAATTCGCATCCATAAATCTTAGTTCAGATTATAGCAGTATTGTGATAGCAGAGTTCTTCCAAAGGTTTAAGTGATCCATTTTTCTGTGACTGATAGAAAAACCTATAAAAAAACAAAAGAACAAGAATTAAAAGGGCATTTTCTCATAGTAAGGGAGCCTTTTATTTTCTCCTCCCTTGTATCATATGCCATCTAACGCCTCGATCCGCTTTCAAGCACTTCAACATTTTTTTCCATCCACCTACCATCTTATATTCTGTTACTCCTCTGTACCAACCTTTTGCTCCCATCAATGTCATTCTCCTAAAGAGACTGCCAACACATAATGCTCATTCTTGATTCTACAACTTCATCTACACTTGAAAAGCATTGTCCCATCATCTTTTTTTCCTGAGAGGAAGGACAGCCTTCATTATGGCACTTGATCCCATCCTCAGCTCTTGTCCCTTATAGATACTTCTTTCTCTCAATCGAACAGACAAAATTTAGTTACTCTCTTCTCAAAACAATGTTTTGTTTTTAAAATACTTTGTAGTTGCTATCCATTAAAATAAAAAGGGGGGTAGGTGCTATCAATTCATTCTGAGAACAAATATGAAGTGCCTACCATGTGCTAGGGACTGTTCTAAGCAGAGATTAAAACAAAGTCCCTATCCTTATGGAGCTCATAATCTAGTTAGAGAAAGAGAAACAACATTAAGTGAACAGATCGCAGATGGGGCTAGTGCTATGAAGAAAAATGAAGCAGGCTAAGGACTTAGAGAGATGTGAAGATGCTGTTTCATACAGAAGATCTCAGTGCCTTTCAATGAAGAGATGTAAAAGAGAGACAGCAGGTCAAGGAAGTGTTTTGAAGTAATATATCTCAGGCAGAGCAGTCATACGTGCAAAGGAGGTGGCAGCACATTTGATTTACTAGAAGGATGACAAGAAGTTAAAAAGTAGAGCTGAGAAAGCCAGGAAGCACAGTTGCAGGAGAGGAGGTCAGGAACAGAAGGTGGGAGAATGTAGCTGAAGCAGGAACTGCACACCCTTGAGATGAGATGAGTTTGACTTCTATTTTGAGTATGTTTGGAAACAACTGATGGACAACGAGCGGAGGAATGAGAGGTGTAAATGGATAATTTTGGCTGTTTTGTTCAGAGGGCACTTTGAAATTGCAAGACGAGAAGCAGGAAAACAAGTTTCAAGATACAATAAACTAGGTCAAGACTGGGTGGCTTAGCTGAGCAGCAGGGCAGACATATAAACAGTAGTTGCTGGATGTATTTTTTGAAAGTTTTATTGGCACACAATTTACATATCATACACTTCAATAGTTCAATCATATAAGGAAAAATTGTACAATCATTACCACATCAATTTTAGAACATCCTCCCCACACCTGGTTAAATCGCCTTTAAAATGAGTTGTGCGCAAACCATTAGTTCTAGTGCTCCCCCCTTTCCCTCCTTCATTTTTTTATTCCTACAATCCCCTATCGCCTGCTCCCCGACCCTGCATCCCCTACAAACCCCTGTATCCGTTATTATCACTATGCATCGACCCTTCTTGTGCATCAGAAATTGGGAAGCCCAACAGAAACATGCTGGATGTGTTTTGAAAGTCAAGTCAACATGATGAACAGAATGGAGGGCATTATTGAACAGAAAATCAAGGAAAATTCAGTAAGTTAAAAGGGCAATTTGTTAAAACACTAATGTAAGTGGTTTTGCATTAAAACAATTAAAAAAGTTATCCATTTAATATATGAGAAATGATATTTTATTGTTTTCATTTGTGTTTCCTTGGAGCTAGAAAATGTGTTTATTTTTGTCTATCTTGTTTTTTCTTTGGCGAATTGTCTACTCCTTTGCCCAGTTAGGTATTAGAGACTTGGTGAATCCAGAAATCAGTTAATTCATAGAAAACCTTTCCTTGAGTTGAACTCTTATATTACTTAAAATATATTTCCTGGCTGTTTAGATCTAATGATTACTCCGTGTTTGTTCCAGTAGTACACTGTTGTAATTATTGTTGTCTTACTTGGTTTTATTATCTGACATTCCCTCTGAACACCTCAATTATTATTATTTTTCTCTCTTCAAATATTCTTTGTCTTAAATGTAGCTATTGCAACAGAAAAACTGAGTTTTAATGCTATTTTAAAGAACTGATTAAAAATGTAGGTCTTTGAGCTGACATTTTCAACGTAAATGAACAGCAGAGCGCAGAAGCACGAATGCCAAACTAGAGAGAGCGCTACCACCGACCAATGAGAAGTCTAGAGTCTAACATGATTTGAGTTTTTTGAGTGAAAACTGCTTCCCTGATGTTTAGTCCAGACCTGGAGTTTCAAATTCTGTATTTTAAATCAGACCATGATTCAACTGACACCCAAGTGTCCAGCTGGAGACCAAGACAGGGAATCTAAACCAGCTATTCTCAGTGAGAGATGGAGTCTGATTTGGAACCAAAATACTGTCCTGTGGCTCTGAGTGAAAGTAAAGTGGCATGAGTTTGAATTCCAACTCTGTCTTTTACAGTCAGCTATATGACCTTATACAAGGTGGTTAACCATGTCATGCCTGCTTCACCTGTAAAACAGGTTATTAAGCATATCCATTTCAGAGCTTGAAGATATTATGTTGAGAGAAGTAAGTCAATCACAAAATGGTAAATATTGCATGATCTCATTTACATAAAAATATAAGAGCAGAAAATTTGTTTCTTTTTTTTAAATCGTTTTATTAGGGGTTCATACAACTCTTATCACAATCCATACATACATCAATTGTGTAAAGCACATTTGTACATTCATTGCCCTCATCATTCTTAAAACATTTGAAGAGCAGAAAATTTTAGAAGAGTAACAATTATGGCTTGACACAGTAGCTGTAACAATGCCCTCAAGCATAACAGTTCTGATGAGGGTGCAGGACCAGGCAGTGTTTCATTCTGCGGTACATAGGGTTGCTACCAGTCAAAACAGACTCAAACACACCTAACAACAATAATAACAATATTAGTGGTTACCAAGAATGAGAGGGTACAGGAGTGGTTATTGCGTATAGAGTACCGAATTTTGTTTTATACTGATGAGAAAACTGAATTAAAGGTAGGGTTGCATAACCAATTAATGAAATTGCTGTCAATAAATTGTACACCTAAAAATCACTGAATTGGAAAAATTTCTGTGATAGGTATATCTGTAATGAACAACAACAAAAACCTAGAGTAACAGCTGCAGCTGCTTATATATAACCAAACACCTTGGATTAGCTTCCAAGATTTGGTGGTTTGGTTTACGGGCGTGGTTTCAGGGGCAGCCCCGTTAGTTGCCCTAATAGTATGTTCTGCCTTCAAAGTTGTTGTATAGTGCCTAAGGTCTTACATCTTGCAAGTGACCACACAAGACACAAGAACTGCTCTCTCTTTGCCTGGAGCAACAGAAGAAGCAGAGTCAGGAGCAGGAGAGAGAGATGGAATGTGTGGCTATTTGTCTCTTCTGCAATCAGGCCATCAAAGATGGATGCCCAGCGACCAGTACTGACCTAGTGATGCATTATGCGCTTAGAAGTCCTCTCTATCTGGGATCAAGCTGACAGGACCAACTGGAAAGATCAGAGAGAAAGCATAGGGGCAGTGTCAGACAAGGTGGATAGAAACAGTGCACACTGAAAGAATGTACACTGAATTGTACATGTAGAAGGGGGTGAATGGCTATTGCTTTGCTATATATGCTTTCAACAACAAAAATTAAAACAAATTATTTCTAAAATCCCATGGGACTATATAAAGTATAAGCCATAAGATAAAGTATGGGCTTTATAATAACATATTACCATGGGTCCAATTGTAACCCATGTGCACATAAGTGCAAAACTTCAAACATCAGCATAATCAATGTGTTGATTCCAACTCACGGGGACTTTACAGGACAGAGTAGAACTGCCCCTGTGGGTTTCTGAGACTGTAAATCTTTT